AGGGAAGGGAAGGGAAGGGAAGGGAAGGGAAGGGAAGGGAAGGGAAGGGAAGGGAAGGGAAGGGAAGGGAAGGGAAGGGAAGGTGAAAATGTTAGCCTCAGTTTCATATTGTGTCTAGCTAGATAAATACAGCCTCTCTATCTTCACATGGGTTTGATGCCACTTAACCTCCTTCCCAGGAGCTCTGTGTCAATCTCAATATGAGAACCAAAAGCTGTGGCACTCTAAATGGCCTAAAGACCCTTCACACACATATATTTTGACTAGAAAGCTTGAAATTACAAAAATAATAAGAAAAACAATGTCGGGTTAGAAGAGAGATTGAATTTGCTACATTATGTAATTTGGTCTTTAAAGATAATTTAGTTTAGAGCAGGTAAGTTTAACATACTTCTATTATCAATAATTTCTTTTCTGCAGAAATTCATGATGAAAAATCTTCAGTATATTCCACATTCATCCATCTTTTAGAAACTAATGTAAATTTTCCATAGTAATGAGTGGTGTAGTAATAAAAATGTCTTAGAGGTTGCTGACAATTGGTTAACATTAGGTCTTGTCAGATCTGTTTACAGGGAGTGTGTAACATATGAAAATCACATTTCAATTTTCAAGAGAATTTGGGGAACATCTAAAGACACCAGCTCTCCAAAGCTGTTGCACCAAAGCATTAGTTCAAAAATGCAAAATGGACCAAAATCATTTGCCTTAACTCATTTTGTTTGGACTTTCTTCTTGATATAGTTAATTCCAGATGGCTATTAAGCAGATTAAAGCAGATATTTGCAGGTAAAAGAGTCAAGATCGTTAGGATCATAATTATTCCCCAGCTACTATCTAATCTTAAATTGCTGCTGGGAACATAAGACCTTGAGCCGTCACACAGCCTGTTCTCGAGAAGGATCATTGATAATGTTTCTGGGGGACAAGCAAAGCACAACAAAATGTTTCATGTGAGAAAATACCCAGACCTGCTCTTTTCTGATGACTGTATATGAAATTAGGCTCTTCAGTGACTGATAAGGAAAAGAGGGTTCATGTCTCCACAGTAAGTAAACCCTACTGTACTCACCATACAGCTTTTCATTACAAAGCCTGTTTTCTCTTTGTTCCCCCTTTCTTGCAGACTTCAACCTCTTCCTAAGACCTGTGATTCGTTATAAATGATACCAAAGTATGAATCTGTGTTGACTTATGAATAAAGCAAATTATTCTCTGCAAATGACTTAGTAAGATTTTCTCTTTTTCAAGATCCTGAAGTGTCTATATTATATAACTCAATTGGCATTACAATGGAATTTATGGAAATATGACATAATTTCCCGGGTTTTTTTAGCATGTTTTGTGGGAGTAATCTATTCTGTACAACATTTTGCACTGGGTCATAGAAGTAAGGCTCCATGTAGCTGCTGCAGTTAGTCACATTGCAGTGTTCATGCCTGAAAATGGAGTACTGTAAGTCTTCATACGGTAGGAAAGTCTGAATAAGATTAGGATGCCTTTGTTCACTCAGAAAGAAGGGATGGCATGATAGCTGGCCTCATTTAACAACTCTGAGAACGTCATGCTTTGGGGCGTTTTTTGGAGGGGACATCACCATGCAGTGGTGTACCACTGGGTAGCTGTTAGAGTCAGGGAGAGGAAGAGAGAAGGTGACACTGTTGCCCACAGGGGACCTTCCCGAGGACTGGTCCCTGCTCCAGCTGACTATATGATACAAACATTGCACATATCAGTCACATCAAAAGCATTGGAAAAAAGATTTTCAAGTGACTGCCTTAACCACCAACACAGGCAGTCTTGACAACTCTTTTTGTTTCTACCCTGGTAACTCTTTCTGACCACACACATTTAAAATTACTCTAAACCTAGTGGGTCAACTTCAATAGCAGGATATCTCCATCCTTCTCCCTAGCATCAATACATCCCAGTGGCCAAAGCCTTCCTCAGCAATATCAGAGAAGTAAATTCAAATCCCCTCAAATAAAGAAATAAATTTTACTTGGCTCTCTATCAAGCAGTAGATTTCTTTAACTGCTTTGCTTCTGCATACAAAGAAGAGAGGGCACCATTAGAGAAAACAGTCACTGCAACTTCATTTTTAGTATGGCTTGATATGTATGTGTTCTCAGTGTTTCTAAAATCAAGCCTCAGAGATTAAATAGTCAGGGGAAATATTCAGTTTCCTGATACACACAGGTGCTCAGCTCCTGTTGAGATAGAAATGGTCTGTGTACATGAGGGAGCAGATCTTCAAATGACTGAAACATTTTGCAGCAAAATCGGGGTCCTCCACCTGTGTTCAGATTTGAAAGAAATCTGCATGGATTTACCAACATCACTGTTTTGAGCAGGGCTTTGAAACTCCACTAATGTATGACAAAAACTAGGACCAGTCCTGTTGTTGTCTGCGCTACTCTGATGCTAACAGTCTGCTCAGAAGCAAGTGGGGAAAGAAACAATTAACAGGACCTGGGATCTTCTTGTTCCATCCATGGACATGGTGCTACTTATCAGAAAGTGAAAAGGTACAAATGGGCAAAAAGAGTAAATTATCCACTCTTGTCCCAGTCCCTTAAGTCAAAGGCATAGCTTCTAAATCATCCTTCTAATTCCATAATCTGTTATTTTGTGAATATTTTATACTGTGATATGAAACTAACATAGGAGACATAGCTATTGTTGCCTTAAATGTAGTATACAAGTTCAATGAAATTCATACCAGTTTTTCCTGCTAGGAAAAAAAAATGTTCAAGCTGATAAGCAGGCTGGAGAGATCTGGGGAATATTTGTATTTAAACAATAGAAAAATATATATGCTTAATATATCTTGGTGATATTATCTTTTTAAACACATAGAGTTAACTCAAAGGAAACTGTGAAGAGAGAAATGAGAAGGAAATGAAATAAGAAGAAATAATGAAATAATAAGAAACCTGAGGTAAACAGTTTTAAAGACTTTTAAAAAGCAAATGAAGTATCAGACAGGAGAAAGCCACCTCTTGGGCTCCATCCAGATGACAGATAGTTCAGTCTCCTGAAATATGAAGCCACATAAAGATTTTGGAAAATTGAATGCCCTGAAAATGGGTGAGGTGAGTGATGCAGAAATGCATCAACAGGAGCTGACAAACAGATTGCAACACAGCTGCGGTGAGAAGAGCCCCAAAGACGAGGGCACATGAGGCAAAGGGAACTCACAGTGCTGTAGTCAGCACTCCCCATGTACAGACCTTTCATCTCTTTTGCTAACACACCTAGTGCTGCTGAGGAATGCCTAAATGTCCCTGTTTAAAAAGCTTTCTGTCACTACACATGTATTTTGTAACAGGATCCTGACTGAAAGCTCATGTAAATACTATCATGAGTTGCACCCATATGATAAATAACAGCTAGGAACAAAGGGAAGGCAAGATAGTCAAAAAAAAGGATGAAACAAGCTCTTCCAGAGTGAGGAACAGGTATTACTTTCTGAGGTCTGCACTTCAAGGAACCAAAGAGACAAGTGGGAGTGACAGATATATTGGGGATTTTTTTTGTTACAGCTATAACACACAAGCAGTTTGCATATAAAGTTAAGTAACATCTGTCATTTAGTTCTACCTCAGCCCTCCATCTCTGATTCACCAAAAGGAAGGATTTATGATCAATAGGCTGCGGTTGCAAAACATTACTTCATTCCTTTTCTTTTTCATATTACTCATAAACTGCACTTCTCCCATGCAGCCTTTCAGCAATGAACTCTGTACAGATTTCACAAGTTCAAGTTGCACTGTACCTCATGTATAACAGTGTCTGAATAGTTTTTATGTGTTTTAGATTCCTGTGATTTAAATTCTGTAAAGATCTTATCTAGTAAAACTCCTTAACCTGCAGTTAACTTGCAGCACATGAGCAGTCCTGTTGGTTTCTGAGCAATTAATTTCCTGCTTGAAATTTCTTCCTTGAAAAACACGTGTGTTTGAAGTTTTAGCACAACTAATGAGAAAAGGGGAAAAGTATTAGCAGAAGGAGCTCTGTGAAAACATTCTTTTCCTATCTAAAAAACAAAACACATAAAACAACAAACAAAATCTCTCTTATTCCAGAATCATTGTTTCTGGACACTTGAGATAAAACAGCCAAGAAAGATGAACATTTGTCAGATGTCAATTTTTTTACTGATAGAAACAGAGTTATTGAAAGTTATTATCAGCTTTTGGAATTCCTGTCTAATGTCTCAGGGAAACTTCCTAGAAGGCTATGGAGGAAGGAGTGCAACCTCCACAGGTTGTCCACATTTGCTTTTCGTTTTTTCTTTGTTTGCAGAGGGCTCTGTAAGGCATGTAACAAGGCAGAGTCTCCTGTATTGCTACCCTTCTGCTCCCTTCAGTCTTTAAGCAGTACATTTTCCTGTTTATTTAGAATCATAGAATCATAGAATGGTTAGAGTTGGAAAGGACCTCAAAGATCATCTAGTTCCAACCCCCCTGCCATGTGCAGGGACACCCTCCACTACACCAGGTTGCTCAAAGCCTCATCCAACCTGGCCTTGAACACTTCCAGAGATGGGGCGTCTACAACTTCTCTGGGCAACCTGTTCCAGTGCCTCGCCACCCTCAGAGTAAATAATTTCTTCCTTTTATCTAATCTAATTCTACTCTCTTTCAGTTTAAAACCATTGCCCATTGTCTTATCACTACATGCCCTTGTAAAAACGTCCCTCTCCAGCTTTCCTGTAGGCCCCCTTTAAGTACTGGAAGGCTGCAATAAGATCACCCCAGAGTCTTCTCTTCTCCAGCTTGCACAGTATCAAGAACATTCCTAGGTCTTACACTGATCCTGCTAGCAAAATTAGCTGTAGCTTATCGCGTCGCTTCAGTGGATGCAACAGCAAGATGTGATGTCTAATGTGCATGTGTATGTTTCCATCTTCCGGCAGCTCAAAAATGATATATTTCTGAAAGAGTGAATATAAGACACAATTTTTACATACATTAAAATTACTTTTGTGTTGCCAGTGGAGTATTCATACAATAAATAATATATCTAGGACCTCCTCAGAGCTGCTCTTGCCCTGAGTCCAATAATCCTACAAGACACAAGAGCCCAAAGAGAGGAAGACCAGGAATGCAAAGAAACTCACCACAGTTATGCCATCATTTAGCAATGACTCCCCGAAGATCATCATGTAAAGTGGCTCATTAACAGAGGCTTCTTCAAAAACTACTAGAGCTGCCACAGGATCCACAGCTGAAATCATGCTGCCAAAGAGCAGGTTCTGCAGCAGGTTCAGGTCAGTCAAGCCGAAAGCTTCTATCTGGCAGATTCCGTAGAGGGAGAGGCCAATCCCAAATGAGTTTAGCAGAGATCCCAGCACAGACCACCAGATGATTGACCCAAAGTTTTCAAAAAATGGGCGAGTTGGCATGAAATAACCCTCCTCCAGGACAATGGGTGGAAGGAGATACAAGAAGTAAATACTTGTACTCATTACCGGTGGAGATTTGTGATCAGAAGCAAAGATGATTGCTCCAACTAGTGTTCCAATGGCAATTAAAATGCAGCTTTCAGGCATCAGTCTTGGTAATCGGTGATAGAGATGAAAACCTTGAATAAAACATCAGGGTATTCAAGTTTAAATTAACCTGACACCAGACAGATTTTTTGCCTGCCTTTTAATACTTTGTCTGCAGACAGTCAGGTTTTGTTCTTAGAATTAAGAATGTAAATACATAGGCAGTACTGTTCCTTTAAAAATGAAGCATTCCCAGACTTGTATCACTAAAGTAAGAGGAAGTGTTTGGCCATGAACCTCTTCTCTTCCCTCTCCCCAGCTCTTGATTTCTAAGCAAGTGTGCCTGAGTCTAAGCTCCACTTCTGAGAACTCAAGAATCTCTTTGAAAAGGCACTCCACAATTTGCAAAGATGATATTCTCTAAGAATCCTTGCTGCCCAACCACTGCTGCCCTAACACTACTTCCAAACCTCTGACGCATTGCTGTCCCTCCATCTCAGAGATATCCCATCCCTGGCTGCAGATTCAAAGACAGCTGCCCACAGTGCTAAGGAAGGTCCCTGGCTGCAGTTGGTCCCATCAGGAACCCAGAGAAGCCCAAGGGAGTAGGGAGCAGCTCAGATGCCATGATCTGCTCAGCTCCCTCCACTTCCAGCACTCCCCTGAAGTGTTGCACCGACTTCAGGTGATCCACAGACTGAGGTAGTGAGTACTGATGAACAACAAAATGTTCAAAGCAGCTCATGTACCAGAAAGAATCAAGCCACAGTAAGATAAGGTTTTGTACAAGCTGATTAACCTTGCTTTTCTGGGAAAACTGCTGTTCCTACACAAGGTAAACAACATTTTGTAAAGAACTTTGTGAGCTAGTTTACTGAAACAAAACCAGTGATTTCAGCGGATCTGAAAGAACTTCCAGCAGCCAACAAATAACGGAAAAAATAATGCCTCTTGAGGGTTATTTTTTTTTCCTCACTAAAGGCTGAGTCTACACTGACAAATGAAGCAGGCCAAAGGCTTCCAGAAAGGTTCAGCTCGCATCCATACTGGGAAATTCTCTTCCCTACCCCAGAAAGAAGCTGTCACATCCAAACTGCCTGTGGGAGCAGACCCTGGCCCACAGTCTGCCCAGGCACTGCCTCGGAGAAGGTCTGTTGACAGAGGCCAGAGCTCAGAAGGAGCATTCCAGCACTGACATGGTGTGGACAGTAACACACAGCTTCTTGACAGGGTGCTCGTTAGTTTACAAGCATAGACGTAATCAAGCTGTTTTACAAAAGGCTTCGCTTACCATATAAATGTTGAGGATGTGAACCTCCTCTTGCCCACCTTAATGTACTACTACAGCAACTGTGTTCATATAGATCTTCCCATTTGACACGGATACTGATACCAATAATAAGATAACGTCTAGCAATGGCTCATCTCGTTGCTATGCCAGGAACTGTGTGATCATATTGAGAACAAGAGATGTCTCAACTAGAAAGGTAAAGAGTTGTTCAGAATTTACAAGAATGAGAACGAGACAAAGAAACCTATAAATCCAATGGCTGTGTCTTCATGCCTGAAACTAGGTGAACCTTCATCCCATAACTCTAGCAACTAATGACATGACTGCACTCCTGTGACCCTCAAATTATCAATGATCAAAAGAAAAGGAAAAGAAAAATATTTGTATGAAATTTTAAATAATTTATTTAGTAGACTATTTGTTTTTACAGAAAAGTATGTTATGATCAAAACTCTAGTCATATCATTTTTTAATTGAAAAAAAACCCACCCATGTTCAAGTCTTTTGTCAGCTTTACTGAATAACAGGATTGTTTTTCCTTTCAAGATGTCAGAAATGCTTCCCACCTTGAAATCTTGAAATACAGAAAGAAGGTAATACTAGAATAAAACACTGAAAATCTTTAACACTTTGGAAATCTTTCCTGAGTAACCAGATTATTCAGACTAACTCTTTCTTCCAAGTAGGTTTGAAATTAGCAGCTCCACACTTTTCATTAAAATAATATTATTGGAAAACTCCCAGCTAAGGAACAGGTCAACTTGAGAAGCATCACACTGTTCTTCTAAATTATCTAATTCTTGCTCAAAACAAAAATATAGAGTAAACGTGCCATATGGCAAGTCCTGTGCTCTTATGGATGATGAATAAAGAAATTGGTCAATATGCTCACTGCCAACACACTCCGCTGATGCAAGAACAAGAAATTTTATTTTTGAAAATGTTTATTATTATTTTAGCAGTGAGGACATTTTTTTATAGGGGTTGGATTGAGACCATCAGCTACTACGAAACTGGAAAATCATGATCAGCAGTAACAATCTTTGACAACTGTGTGACTATGACATGAAAAATCATGGAATCATAGAATCATAGAATGGTTTGAGTTTGAAAGGACCTTAAAGATCATCCAGTTCCACTCCCCTTCCATGGGCAGGGACACTTTCCACTCAATCAGGTTTCTCAAATGCTTATCTTCAGGCCACCTGCAGAAAATCATCAGTCTCACCCAGCCTATTCTATAGGAATATTTGAAAATCCCATGGAAAGTCAAAAGAGCAGGGAGATCGCATGTGTGCAGTTCTTCACATTATTACCATTTTCTTCATTTATTTTGTATTGCTGCCTCAATTCTGAATGGTCAAAATAATTTGAGCCCAGCCATTCAAACATGTAGGACACACAGTCTGCCATTTTTGCTATGTTAATTGCAGCCTCTAGTGCTCCATGAGTTGTCTGTCTTCATTCAGGTACCTACATGGAGCTCTAATAGAAGCTAGATGTGCCAGTATGTGTTCTGAAGGAATTTAGTCTATGTCTCTGATGACCTGCACCCTCTTAAACTCTCAGTCCCTCTCCTCTTGCATTACTTTCTAAGCAACTTTTTAAACAGCAAGCATGTAAAACAAAGACTCATAGGGAAACATTTCCTATTATTCGCACGACGGAAGAATTCTTCCCACTTTTTTCCTCCAAATTCAAGATGCTCGAAAACTCAATCTAGTGTTACTGAATTCTACAGCTGTGACAGGTTGTAAGTTCAGATATCTTGTGATGTTTAAAGACTAGAAAAAGAGATGGACAGCACTGTTTAGGGGAGCCCTGTTGCTAGTCGCTACATAGACAACCGAAGAGACATGAGGGTTAGAGATCATATATTTACTTCAGCAAGTTGAAAGCATTCAGAGGTGGAATTTTGTCATTGTCATGGTAATGAACACATCTGTTCTTTTGGGGATGGAAACTAAAAATAATCCTAGTTTCAAAAATGGACAGAAGACACTTGGATACACAGTACGTTTTTAACTTCTTGCCGATCCCATTTTCTACTTACCTATTTTTGCAAAAGAGGCAAGGAGGATCCAAAGAGTAACTTCATAGGGAATTTGTACGTAGTCATAGTCCACTGTGAAAACATGTAGCCTCGTATCTTGTGAAGAGCCAACAGCATCCCCGCCATCAGGTTCATAGTGAGGCAAGAAACTTTTGCTGAGGTTAGGCTTATCCACAGAAGCAGCAGCAGAACAGCATACCAGACTCAACAGCAGCAGCAACCAGTTCAAAAGCTTTGCATGTACAAGCATGGCAGAGCACATGCCTGGTGCTGTAGACTATTTTATTCCAGATACAGCGTGTAGCGGGTGCATGAAAGTATGAAACACTCACTCCTGTTGATTCGCGCTGCTCATAGCCACAGTCACTTCTTCATTTGTCTATTAGAGGTTATTTTAAAAGCTCTAATGTGCCTATCCTGTTCCTTGTACTACAGACGGACCTCGAGTTTGCATGAAGATACCGGTTCTGCAGGTTCCTCTGACCCAGATAAACCTTGGCCACAGCATCACCCTGTTAAGGAATAAAAAGCCCTTTCCAACTACATTATTTATCCAGTCACTCTGATTTTTTCCCACTGTCAAAAAAAACCCAAAACAAAACCAAAACCAAAACTGCAACGCACACTGTTCAGGTAGCAAGTGCAGCACAAGTAAACAGCATCAGATGGGAAAGACAGTGACACCCTGGGCAGGCAGGAGAGCCTGCTCCATACCTTCCTCTCCTGCCCTCGCTCCCCGTCTGCCTCCCCAGCACAACTGGCACCTCAGGTATCACATTTGGCATTGCTCCCTGGTCCTGTCTCACCTGGTAACAAAACTACTCGATGTGTAAACAAATGGACTCTGCAGGACTCACAGTAGGGACATCTGGTGGAGGACCATGCAAATGACGTTCTCGTTTAGAAACCTGGTCTCTCTCTTAAATGCATGTGTGTAATTTCGCACGTTTTAAGAATAGAAAGAGGAAAGTCTGAGCCACATCAAGTGCCTAAAACTGCATCTGGACTTGTAGTTGGCATTTGTTTTACTCATGCCATCAGGGCATTTACTGAACAACCACATTATCCTTTTCCAACACGACATTCACCCTTACGGAACGCTTTCTTTAAAAAGGTCAGTATCTTCTCTCCTTCACAAAAACTACCATGTTTAGTTTAGGATCGCAAAGTGTGCAAACATAGTAGTGTTGATTAGAAGCTGCTAATGCCTGTATTATATACAATAAAAGTGAGTGAATTTAATTTACTGACAAATTATTCAAATTATCCACTGTTTTGGTTGTGTTGGAAAACAGTGCAGACTAGCAAGAACAAAGAGGTACCCCAAAAGAACTAGTGCTGAGGACCTCACAGCCACACTGCATGTGTTTGGGAGGGGATTCCTTCAGGTCAAGTGCTCCTACAAACTGGATGTCCCTTCATGGGTGAAGAATATCTTCGACTTGACTTTCTGTGGAAAGGGATCCAGTGTGTGCACTTGAGATGCTCTGTAGTGCAATGTAAAAGGCAACAAGTAGTGACAACTGGGAAACTTGCTTCAAAAGCTTGTCATGAGCTTAACTAAATCCCCAGTGCAGGTGCAACTCAGTGTCAAAATCTTCTGTGGTACAGCCAGTGATGCCGTTTCATGTTTTATTTCTACATGAGGCACTACCTTCTGCTTCTGCCCCACAGCACTGCCACCAGTCCTCCTACTGAAAACTTTGAATCCAATACAAAATTAGGTAGATAATGCTCAGCTTGCTTGCGAAAGGGTTGTTGTTTTTCAGTATACTGGTCCTGTTAACAGCAGTGTAAGTCCCTTTCCAAAAAGGGATCTGGCAGATGAGCCATTCAATTAACATTATAAACCAAGGATTTGTTAACCTGAAGGCCAAATGAAGTCAGCAAAACACCAGATCAGTGGCTATCCTAATCAGATTTTCTTTACACTAACCATTCCATTTCCCTTAGCTACTGCCATACACATGAAGACCGCAAGATCATAGAATCATAGAATGGTTTGGGTTGGAAGGGACCTTAAAGATCATCTAGTTCCAACCCTCCTGCCACAGGCAGGGGAACCTTCCCCCTGACCTCCCCGTCA